AAACCGCCATTACCTGAAGACTTAGTAAAACCCTGCAACTGTAAAAAAAATTGTGCAATGAAAGCTTGTTCGTGTCAAAAACTAATCATGACGTGTGTGGCATTATGCGGATGTTTAATTGAATGTTGCCAAAATCAATTTCATGTATAAACTAGTTAGATGTACAAACTATAATTTTATGTAAAAATTTTCTTAATAAATGAATATTACTATTAAATAATCATAGTGGAAAAGAATTAACAACCATAGAAAAAATTGAATACATATATATATATATATATATATATATATATATATATATATATATATATATATATATATATATATATATATATATTGCGTACTCTGGTTTAAAATAAAAACAGGTGAGTCAACTATGCTCATCGTAACAGGTAGAAATTTCCCTTGAATTACGGCAGGTATGTTTGTCTTCTTTTATCTTATTGGAAAAAAAGAGAACAATTTATTTCTTAGACAGCTCTTGGCAATGATTTTTTTTTCTGGATGGAACATTTCTATTAACTTCAGTGAATAAAAAAGTTATCGAAAATATCTAAAAAAGTAAAAAAAATCACATGATACAAAACTATTAATCGGCAAATATAACAAAGTGTTATGAAATATGTTAATAATAATTTTTGAAGTGAAAACTTCTTTAGCGGCGTTGAGCACTTTTGTGGGATGGGTAAAAACTGTGAAACTCGCGTCAGGACACGTGGGCTGATCGAAAATTCGTAAGACGGTTGGAGAGTAGTGTTGTAACATCGAAATCGATTGTTTTCTTTCGATTGTCGATATTTTTTAATCGATTGTAAGGGTTTCGATTAATTAAAAAAAATTGATTTTTTAAAAATCTATTTTTATAAAAAATTGATTTCTAAAAAAATTTTTTATACGAGACTTCTTGTACGAAAATTTATTTATTTATTCTCATGACGCATCCGCATTGCTTCAAAAAAAAATTGGAAAACGCTTTGATGAATTGCCAATGATTTTGAGTGGAGATTTCAACATAAACTTTGCAGACGATAAAAATCAACTATTAATTGAATTTTTAAATAATGAATTTGTTTTAACTATGTCAAATGATCGCCATCTTAGCACAACGAAGTACAAAACTACTATTGATGCGGTCTTTATTAGACATTTAAATAGGTTCGAATCAAAACTGTTCGTTTCTTACTTCAGCTATCATAAACCTATCGTATCAGTTTTAGAGATTGGCGATGATGGTTCTGGTAATAATGATGGTGAAAAAGTCATCGAAATTATGGATGTAAGCAGATTTTTCTGAGAGATAAACTTTTTAATGTAATACAATGAAATTTAATGTAACATAAATTGTAATGTGTGTGTATGATAGCGCAATAAATATTGTATTCTACCTGTTTCGAAATCAAAACATATCAAAACATTTGAAGCCGGTCCTGCGCGCCACACTTTGGGTGGTCCGTTGAATATATATAAAAAATCGTTGTAAACACCTGCTTCTTGGTCTACGTGACATTACCCTCGTGAACGGGCAAAACAGGATCACACCTGACTAGCCGGCACTATGCATTTGTTTCATCTGTCTCCCTCTATCGCTTTCTATCTCCCTCAACATATACGCAGCTAACCGAAAAAGAAGCGCACTTTTTAACCAGACACCAAAGCAAACAGACGTGTATTGAGTTCGCTCTTACACAACATAAAAATGTCATTTTGTAACTCACTTTTTAACAAGACACCAAAGCAAACAGACGTGTATTGAGTTCGCTCTTACACAACATAAAAATGTCATTTTGTAACTCACTTTTTAACCAGACACCAAAGCAAACAGACGTGTATTGAGTTCGCTCTTACACAACATAAAAATGTCATTTTGTAACTCACTTTTTAACAAGTCACCGACGCAAACAGACGTGTATTGAGTTCGCTCTTACACAACGTAAAAATGTTAATTTTTTTTAAAAAAGTTTTTCTCAGCAAAGATAGTTTAGAATGTAAATAAATATGTAAAAAAGTTTTTGTAAATAAGTGTACTGAAGATTTATGAAGAGTCATAAATAAAAGGTGTTATCTACGATAATTTTGCGAGTTTTATTCCATAAGGAAATTACTACAGTCCATTAGCCGAAGCAGAGAAGAACCGAAAACTGTGTTGCTGCATACGTGGTTTATCAATTCAGGTAATCACGATCACAACATAGAATCTGGTCATATTCGAGCCGGATGTTTGCAGTTTCGAGTTATGGTCCAGTCAACAGAGACTAACAAACTTAGTGCGGTAATTCTTTAGTGCAATAATAATAATAAAAAAATCGTTCGTAATTTTAAAAAATAAGTGAAAAACAGACAGGTATAACTATTTATTTTACTAATTTTTATTTTCTAAAAGACTTACTACATGGCAAGTAAAAAAATGTTGGAACTTGCTTATGTAAACTTGTAATTTTTATTTTTTTTTAACTTTAATCTATATTCACGCTTTGTCGTTATATATTCGTTTATATTTATCGTAATATTATACCATAATCGTTTCATTGTCGTATATAGTTGAACATTCAAAATCAATGTTACATATTTTTTCGTTATTTCTAATACTTTGAACATATACCCACAGTGGTCATTTATATTGTTTCGTTACAAAATCGTACTTTTAAATTATACCCACAGTGGTTACTTATATTTTTTCAATAATGTTTATCGTTTATATACTATACTTTAATATTAAACAGAACATATTTTCGGCAATTAAACAAAGCTAACACATCTTCTCAAAAATGGAAAAACATAGAAAAAATAGGTCCACAGCTAAAGGACAACTAACTCGAATCGAAAATTGGATGCATGCAAATCTATATTCTGACTCTCTAAGCAGTACAGCACTTTCTATTCAAATTACTAGTTTAGAACAACAATTCGAAAAATATACTTTAGCTCAAAACGAAATAGACTATTTAATTTCTCAAAACGAATCACTTGTCGATGATGAAGATCGTGAATCTTTCGAAAATTCATACATTCAATTATTAGCAGGAGCAAAAGACGCTCTTAATAAACTACAACCTGAAACTAATCAAATTGTAAATCAAAGTAACATTAATCAAAATATTAAACTCCCAGAAGTCAATATTCAAACTTTCTCAGGTAATCCATTAGAATATACTAGTTTTATCGATTTATTTAATGCCTTAATTACTAAAAATTCAAGCTTGTCAAATGCCGAAAAATTATTCTATTTAAAATCTTTTCTGGTGGAGGAACCCCATCAGTTAATTCAAAAACTAGATATAACTAACGACAATTTTGCTATTGCTCTCGAATTACTCGATAAACGGTTCAATAATAAAAGACAAATATTAAACAACCATTTTGTACAACTGATGGCGATCGCTCAAATAGAAAAATCAAACTCATCTTTGCTCAGAAAATTCGTAACTCAAGCTAAAACCATAATCGATTCCCTCTCTAGTCTTCACATGACATCAGAGGAGCTATTTAACTCTTTTTTGATACATATTTTAGAAAGCAAATTAGATTTTTTCACAAAACAATCATTCGAACAATCCATAGGTAAAAATCAATCACTCAATGTTAATCAACTTTTTGACTTTTTAGAAGACAAATGCATAGCTTTCGAAAACTCTGTAAGTGCCGACAATAAACCAAAAAATAATGCCCAAAATTACTCGAATTTTAGTCATAAACACATAAATAAACCTCAAAAAATATTTTTACAAACAAACCAGACTCCAAAAGTAACTCCTGTTCAACAAACAACGTTCCCACATTCTAAATGTGCATTTTGTAACACTATAGAACATTCAATTTTTCGATGCCAATCATTTTTATCACTAACAATCAAAGACAGGTTCAATTATGTCAAAAGTATTCATGCATGTATTAATTGCTTATCCACCAATCATAATGTTAAAAATTGTACTTCAAAACATACATGTCATACGTGCAACCAAAAGCACCATTCTTTATTACATTTTCAAAATACTAACAGTCAAAACGAACCTCGTCCTCAATATGTACAAAATAAATTCAATTCATCAACGTCAACACCTAATTATTCTCAAAATAAAAATTATTTTCAGACAAATAGGCCTTCAGCAGTCAATGTTGACAGTAATCGTAATTTACATGTTTCGAATCAATCATCTTCAGGGCCGTCTACTTCTTATAAGCCTGTTACTTCTTCAGCTTTATCAGCTACAACTACAAAAAATACACATGTACTTTTAGCTACTGCCAAAGCACAAATTAAAACTAAAAATGGCAAGTCTATAACAATAAAATTACTTTTGGACAATGGTTCGCAAACATCCTTCATCACGCAGTTTTTAGCCAATCGTATTGGCTTTAAATCATATCAAAATAATCTAAAAATATCTGGCATCCTAAACGAATGTAATTCCGTTTCTCGTTCTGTTGACGTAACCATTACCGCTTTAAATAATACGAAACAATTCAATTTTTCATGTTCAATCGTAAAAAATATAACGCAAA